TGTACTTTATGATCAAAAGAAAACTCCCTAGTAGCCAAATTCTCCCAGGAAAAGAAGGGGCTGGTTTATATATCCAGATCCTCAACATTTCTGAGGAGACTCCCCAGTCTATCCTGCCAGTCTTGGAGCTCTGATGTGTCTTGCACAATCTATCCACCTAGGGGAAAATGGAGACAGTGGTATGGATTGGCATAGGCACCATAGATTCTACCTCCTGTTCATTGCAGAGGAAGCATACAAAATCCACAGCAGCCTATTTCTACCTGGGGAGGGAAAAGTTGGAAGAAGCCCTCAGAATCTCTTGCCAAGATGATTGGTAGAGGTCTTTTGTATGAGGCCAATGTATGAATACTGGGAGAGTGGCCTGCTTTGTCTAATGTGTGGGCCTCAAAATGGAGTCAAGAAAGATGAAGAATTGGGCAAAAAATGTTCCCTAAAAAAGGAATAAGATAAATTTCCAAAACTGACCCAAAAGAAATGAGTAGTATGATTTACCTGAAAGAAAATTCAAAATAACTGTCATAAAAATGCTCAGAGATAAAGAAAATAGTATAAAAACAAAGTAAGAAATTCAGCAGCAACAGAAAATATTTAAAGATACAAAACAGAAATCATGAAGCTAAAAAGCACAATAATTTAACTAAAAAATTCACTAGAGGATTTCAATATCAGATTGGATTAAACAAAAGAGAGGATCAATAAACTCAAAGGCTTATCATTGGGAATAAGTCAGAGGAGCAAAAAGAAGACAAAATGAAAAAGAGTGAAGAAAATTTAAGGACCATCCTCAAGGGACCAATATACACATTGTGGGATTCTCAAAGATAGAGACAAAGGACAGGAATACTTACTCAAAGAAAATAAACAATGGCTGAAAACTTCCCAAACCTGAAAAGGGAAATGGATATTCTGATCTAAGAAGTTAAAGGAATACCATTTAAATAAATCCAAAAGAAATCTACATTAAGACACATTTTAATCACATTGACAAAATCAAGGACAAATAGACAAATTTGAAAGAAGGAGAAAAGTGACTTATTATATTCACAGGACATACTAACATGAAAATAAGCAGATTTTTAGAAGAAACCTGTAGGCCAAAAGAAGTGGAATAGTATATTCACAGTGCTGAAAGAAAAAGTTGCCAACCAGAAAAATTGTCCTTCAAAAATGAAGACAAGATAAAGACTTTCCCAAAACAAAATCTCTGAGAGTTCATCATTACTAGACCTATCTTACAAGAAATGTTAACAGTTCTTTTTTTAATATATTTTTATTGATTTTTTACAGAGAGGAAGAGAGAGGGATCAAGAGTTAGAAACATCTATGAGAGAGAATCATCCATCAGCTGCCTCTTGCACGCTCCCTATTGGGGATGTGCCCACAACCAAGGTACATGTCCCTGACCTGAATTGAATCCGGGACCCTTCAGTCCACAGGCCAATGCTCTATCCACTGAGCCAAACCGGTTTCAGCAGCTAACAGGAGTTCTTTAAGTTGAAATGAAAGGATGCTAAACAGAAATATGACAGCATAAGGAAATACGAAACTCACTGATAAAGGTAAATATATACCAGTAAACAAATACAGAGTATTGTATTACTATAATAATAGTGTTTAAATCACTTTTAATTCTATTATAAATTAAAAGGTAAAAGTTTAAAAATAACTATAATGAAAATATATTAAAATATACATAATATGAATATATGTAAACTGTGACAATAATAACATAAAATATATGTGGAGAGAATTTAAAGTGTAAAGTTTGCATGTATGATTGAACTTAAGTTACTATCAGCTTAAAATTTACTGTTAAAACTAGAAGATATTTTATATAAACCCCAAGGTAACTATTTTAAGCAGATAATCAAAATAATAATAAATTATTCAAACCATATCAATAAAAGAATCAACAAACAAAAAGGAATACAGTAAGAGAAAAGACAGACAAAAGAATTTCAAGACTAATGGAAAACAATAAAAAGACAAGAGTATAAGCTTTTTCTATTAATAATTACTTTATGTATAAATAGATTAAACTCCTTAATAAAAAAATAAACAAAGTGGCTAGATGAATTAAAAAAAAAGAAACACAAAACACTCAACTATATGTGATCTAAAAGAAATTATTCACAATAGACAAAATATGGAAATTATCTACATGCCCATTGACAGATGAATGGATAAAGAAAATATGGCTTATAAATCCAATGGAATATTTATTCAGCCTTAAAAAAGGAAATTCTAAAATATGGAACTACATGGATGAATCTTGAGGATGTTATGCAAAATGAAATAAGTCAATCACCAAAAAACAAATATTTTATAATTTCACTTCCATGAGGTATATAAAATAGTCAAATTCATAGAATCAAAGAGTGGAATAGCAGTTACCTAGTGCTGGAGATAGGGGAAATTAAGGATTTAATTAATGGGCATAAAGTTTCTGTTCATCATGATGAAGTATAGAGCTCTACTGTACAACATTGTACCTACAGTCAACAGTAATGTATTGTACACTTCAAAATTTTGTAAAAGGGTCAATCTGCTATTGTGTTCTAACCACAATAAAATAAAAATTAAAGAGCCCTGCAAATTAATTTTTTATATAATGAAACACACACACACACACACACACACACACACACACACACACATTACTTGGACTTTAACAAGGCTTTTAATTTTAGATCTGAGAAACAAGATAGGAATGTATGATATAAGCCATGCTACTTCCAAGCATAGCTGTGCCTCAAGCATTTTACTGGGATTGCTTATATCTATATATCTCATAATAATTATTTAGAATTATATGAAAGATTTAGAATCACACCCATGTTTCCTATTCCAATTCAGCAAACTCCTAACTGAACAGTCAGTAAGATGGAATCAAATGATTTTCTATTATGTATTAAATTGAATTCAAGAATCCAGCTTGGGTGCATAGTCAAACTGGCTCCTAATTCCTTCACTAGTGAAATTAATTTATTACCAATACTATATATAGGCTGCTAGCTACCATCATCTTACTGGAGGCGAAGCCTGCCATGACAAATCTCACTTATGAAGGCTAGCTAAAGTGAAAACTCCACAAACCATGAATGTTCAACTCCTTTCTTCAATCACCACCATCTTTGCCTTTTTAAATAATCATTCTTGCTCTCTCAAGGAGGACTAATTAAACAGACAAAGATGGTTACAAAATCACTTTATCTAACTCTGTGACTTAGAAAGGGCAGACACTCCTATGTCCTATGTCCTAGACATAGAAAGAGTAGTGGGGGGTGAGAGAAACAGTTATCACTAATATGCCCTCCAAAGTTCTTTCTGAGTATGGAAATTACATTTACAGGTAATAACACAAAAGTCAATGCTTCAGAAAACATAATTCAGAGTGAATTTAATCAATAAAATCTACTCTTTCAAAATGAAGAAAGAGAGTAATAGAGGGCAAAACAACACAGAAATAGGATAATATTAGACATACTAAAGGCCTGTTGCACAATATTTGTGCAATGAGGGAGGTGTTCCTCAGCCCAGCCTGCATTCTCTCCAATCTGGGACCGCTCAAGGTATGCCAGACTGCCCATTTAGGCTGATTCCTGTGGGATTGTGCTCAAACCAGCAGTAGTCGGACATCCCTCTCACTATCTAAGACTGCTGCTCTCAACTGCTCACCTGCCTGCCAGCCTGCATACCTTAACCATTCCCCTGCCAGCCTGATCGCTGCCTTACTGCTCCCCTGCTGGCCCAATTATCCCAACTGCCTTCCCTGCCAGCCCGGTCACCCCCACCTGCCCTCCTCTGCCAGCCCAGTCGCTCCTAACTGCCCTCTCTCATGAAGGCTTGGTCATCCCCAACTTCCTTCCCCTGAAGGTCTGGTCGCCCCTAACTGCCTTCCCCTGCTAGCCCAGGCACCCCTATCTACCCTCCCTTGCTGGCCTGATCATCCACACTGCCCTCCCCTGCCAGCCATCTTGTGGCGGAAATCTTGTGACTACATGGGGGTGGCTATCTTGTGCAAGGGCATGAGGGTCAATTTGCATATTACCTCTTTATTATATAGGACTAGAAATGCAATAATATTTGACCCTATTAGCATAACATTAGAAATGTGTTAACAGAAATAAGGCATATAAAAATAAGTATTCTGAGGATTCTTTTTCCAACCCATATGAGAACATTATATTCATTTTTGACAAGTAGGCATTGTATAAAATAAGACATGGAAAAATAGGAATTTTCATAAGTCAACAACAACAAAAGGATGAACTGATGGCATTGTTGAACAATAGAAAGAACACATATGTTTGGAAAAAAAGACACATCTTAGTTGGAATATTAGTTTATGGCATATTAGTTTCAGGGCCTTGTCTATGCTAGTTAACCTCACCTAGTCTGTTAGTCTTTTCTGCAAAATGAGAACTACTTCACATGGGTTGTGATCAAATACATTACCTCATTCCTGTCCTATGGGAACCTATCATATGCAAATTGTTTCTTCACTCCCCAGGAAATATATTATTGGAAAATATAGCCTGAAAGAAATGAATTCATTTGTTATGAATGAAAAGAGGTGATAAACTTAACCTGCCTTTCCTTTCAGTAAACAGTCTCTTAATACCCTGAATATTCTTAATACCCTGAAGAGTCTGGGCTGGAAAAAATAACTTTAAATTGCATCAATTTTCTTCTTGACTTCCTGGGAATATAATACTATACTGGAATAGACCCTAGATGCTAGAGTATCCAAAGCAGGAAATCATGCAAAATATCCATAAATATGTATCTGATTTGAGAAATATGTAAATGATTTGAGAATAACCCAGTCTAAACTCTTCTGCAAGAATTTTAAGCACATGTAATCTACATTGTTATACAGATTATTATTTGATCCACTTATCTTGCAATTGAACTTCCCCAAATATTTTCTGAAATATATTTGTCAATTTAATATATTATACATACAAATTCCTAATAAATATTTATTTTTATAGCTTTTACAACTGGGACAGTCAAGTTGCTGTTTGGAATTCAACTCCCAATTATCAAGTGATTGCTGATAATCCAGAAGGCTTGCTTTTCAAATACAAAAGAGACAGGAAAATTCTCAACGTGGACCCAAAAGTAAGTATGCTTTTATATTTATCTCCAAATTTGATTGTATTTCTACCATTATTCAAAATTTTATTAAATATTGGACAATTTTAACATTTTAAATCGAGAATTGAAAAATTATGTTGAAATTTAGAGCATGTACTATTCTAAAACAAACAAACAAAACAAAAAAAAAATATTCCAAAACAACAAATTATCAGAAATCAATAAAGAGTTTAGTGGGCATTTAAATAGAACACACATATGGGGACACTTCTCCATGCCTAGCACAGAATGATATCAGGGAGCCAGTTGGCAATGAATTTGTTTGATCTGATCTTGCAGATGTCCAGTCACTTTTTGCTCTATGTGGAGATGAGTCAGGTAGGGAAGGAAGACTCTCAACTCATATATGTACCCAGAATTCTAATATTCCTTCTTATATATAACTAAATTTGAAAATAGTATGGTCCTTAGTATATTTCTAAGTATTAACTTAGAAAATACATTTTATTTAAATATTTTAAAGATATGGCCATTGATATTTTTAATTTGTTCAAGGACAAATATTTATATCTTACATAATTCAAAGGCTGCATTTGTATCATGGTTTTAATCATAACTTATCATATGTTTGGGGATGAAGATTAAAACTTAAAGTCATATGTGCTTGAGTTTCTTAGGCTTTTTTTTTTTTTTACTTTTGACATGTATGCTAGTCATGTGACAGCATCAGTCTAAAATTCGAGTCCAGAAAACCAGTCCTTCATAGGAAAAAAAATTAAAATTATATAATATGCCTGGGATAGGGACAAGGATGGACCAAGGGAAAGGAAGATCTGGTTCTAAAACATTTGAGAAATTCAAAATCAGCAATAAAAGTATTTTTGTTTCATATCTACTTAGTTCCTTGCTCATAGAAAGTGCTCAATATCTGTGTGTTCAAAGAATGAATAAATGAAATTCTATAGCGAGAAATGGTTTATTTCCTTGTTAGATAGTCATTCTTGCTTTAGGAAAACCACTTTTCCTAACTCTGTTACAACTCCAAGTATCAGAAACCCAAGACAGTGACTTAAACAGAAGAAGCTTCTTTCTTTCCCATGTGTGAGTGGAGATAGTACTGTCAGTCCAAAGTTGGAACGGCAACTCGATGGTCATCTGGGCCAGGCAAAATAGATCTTCAGCCAAAACAACTGCATTCCAAACAGGATTCGTGGACGGAACTCAGAGGGTACAAAGGACAAGCCCTCACTTCCTTTTAAGGATGTTTCCTAAAAGCTACCACACAAACATCCATATGTTCCATGGCAAAAACTTAGTCAGATGGCCACATCTAACTACTTGGAAGACTGGAAAATGTAATCTTGATTCAGATGGCCATATGCTCAGCTATAACAGGAGTTCTGGAAAAGGAAGAAAAGTTTGGATACTTGTTTATGTCACAAAGATATCTCCTTCAAAAATAACGTTGCTCTTTTCTGGTCTTCTATTTCTCATTAGTAAAATGAAGGACTACGTAGATCTGAAAATCTTTAGGGCCATATTTATTCTAAATGTATTAATGATAGGGAAGTTTACCAGCACACCATCTCTACAGTGGTGCCCTTTTTCTATCATAAATGAGTGTCAAAATGTTACCAATTAAGTATAGAAAACTTAATAAATAGCATTTTCAGAGTCTTTTCCTTTTAGAAAGCTAAACTATATTCATAAAATATACAAAATTATTAATAGCTTCATTAAGATGTGTGAAACAAATTTCTGAATCAGTTTTGAATGACATAATGCTTAGACTATTTTAGGGTTCTGTTTTAACTAGTGGCTAATAAATACTTCAAGAGTGTATGTCATGAATTATAGTTTTATGATCTTCGTGGAATCATTATTGAATGCAAACTGTTATTTGAACATGGTTCAAATAACTTTAAAACACTCACTTCCAAAATAATCAACCACAAAATTTCAAAGATTTTCATGAACAACTCATGTTCTTTATTTCTTGAAGATTTTGATATAATTCAAAGATTCATGAGTCTAAATGAAAGATATTTCTAAATTCTAGAAAAAGAAAGAAGAATTTAGTTTATAAGTGATAATAGTAAAGAATTATTAGGTGGGATGTATGATAACATTTGTAAACTTCTATTTCTTTAAATTTTACCTTTTGAAGATACTAGTAAGAATTAATAGTTTACTTACTGGAAGAGAAAGTTGTTCTCAGAATCAAACAAAATTCTAGATCTTACTTTAACTGGCAGCATGACCTTGAGCAAATAATTTAATCTCCTTGGGCTTTCTTGTTCACAACTTGAAGATGAATGTTATTTTCTGATCTCTAGGGTCCCCCTACAGCCTCAAGCTCAAGTCACAGATATTCTGACTCAATTGGGCTCAAAAGCAACAAGTGTGATTTTGCTACCGATTATCCTTGAACCATAATTTGAGAAAATCTTCTCCATAAAAAAGATAATAATCTCAAAAGATTTGTTACTCTGTCCTCACACATGTGTTCTCAAGCATTTGTTCTCAAAATATAACATAAAGATTTTAATTTTCATGGTAATATATAAATTTTTTAATTTATTCACCTTCTTCAGGGAGCCATGATCCTTTTATATTTTATATAATTTTTAATTTATTCACCTTCTTTAGGGAGCCATGATCCTTTTATATTTTATATACCCACTAAGCATCTCATACAGACCTACTAGAAAATCAGAAATTAGCTAAAATATCAAGTTTTTAAAACTACCAATGCACAATGATAAGAATTACATTTTAAAATTCAATATTTTGCCTGGCTGGCATGGCTCAGTGGTTGAGCATCAATCTATGAACCAGGAGGCCACAGTTCCATTTCTGGTCAGGGCACATGCCTGGGTTTCAGGCTTGATCCCCAGTGGGGGCCATACAGAAGGCAGCTGATCAATGATTATCTCTCATTATTGATATTTTTCTTCCTCCCTGTCTTTCCCTTCCTCTCAGAATCAATAAATATATATTAAAATAATAAATAAAAATAATTCAATATTTTTTTCAATAATTTTACTTGAAATACTTCCTGAGTTAAATACCTTCTTATAATTCTATAGTTAAGGTGCTATAAAATATAAGAATAAAACAGTTCAACTTTCCTTCAACTATTCTCTTTGAAATATTTTTATGTTTAAAATTAAAGAGGACAATCACCATGTAATTTCACTTATATGTGGAATCTAACAAACAAAATAAACTAACAAACAAAATAGACTCATAGATACAAAGAACAGACTGACAGTGGTCAGAGTATAAAGGCATTGGCAGGGGAGGTGAGGTTGGGAGAAAAAGGTGAAGGGATTAAGGCAAAAACAAACCTTATAGACACAGGCAATGGTATAGTGATTACCATAGAGAAAGGGGGAAGATAAATAAGGGTAAAAAGGTGATAAATGGTGATGGAAGGAGACTTGACTGTGATGAGCACACAATACAATATACAGATGATATATTGTAGAATTATACACTTGAAACCTATATAATTTTATTTAACCAATGTCACTCCAAAAATTAAATTTTTAAAAATTCAAGCAAAAAATAATAAAATGTCAGTTTCTAATTGTTTATTGCTAGTAGAAAGGAAAAAAATTCAAGAGGTTGAGATAAATGAAAGGTAGAAACAGTGATAAACAGGATGTGCTTCCTTTGTACAACACAGATGTAGACTCATTAATTCTGAAGTGTAGTTCCCATGAAACATAGTTGTTTGTGAATGGTAACAGTGGAAAAAAAAGAAAAGAAAATTATGCAGATCTTAGAACAAGTAATGTGTGTTCATTGGTTAAGAAATTCCAAATGCAATAAGAGTTTGGTTGCATTCAAAACAGGACCACTGGCTTTAACTTCCCTGCAGCTGTATAACATCTGGAACAAATAAGGCAAGTTTCTATTTTTGAGTTAAGAATGCTTGTTTGAGTGATTCACACCCACCAAAATGTTTCCAGTGTATTATCTTTAGGAGGATTGAGTGGAAGCACTTTGCACTCACTCCCCTACATTATCTGAATAAATTTTTAAAGGCTTTTGGTATTTTTATTTTAGGAAACATTAACCGTGGGAAAGTTTGCTTTGAGTCTTAACATAAAATAGGTGGTCAAACCTTCATAATCTACTCACCAGAGAGAGTTTGGATAGAATAGTTAAAATTGAAAAAAATATATATATTCCTTAGTTATGCTTGATGTTCTCTATTTCCCTCTTCTATTCATTAAATGTGAGAGCCCATCACCTGGGAAAATGCCTGGTTAATAGAAAATAAATATTCATGGAATAAGTGATTGAAGGAGTGATTCCCTGCTAGCACACAGTAATGCTACACTAATTAAAAGTTGAGGAGTGGATTATGTCATTGATACCTAATGTAGTAGTAATAGCCAGAGAGGATACAGCCAGACTACAATGTAGTGATCCAAGTGAGTCAGGGGAAAAAATGCAAGAATTTATCAGTGGAAACAGCTAGTACAGCTATCATTTTAAGTTTTGCAGAAATCTTTGTTTTGGTATGTGCTTTTATGTGCTTTTAAGTCTTCCTGTGTAGCTCCAGAAATATGTAATTTAACCTATCTCAAATTAATTCTGTTGAATTAGAATGTTTTAATTTTTAATAAATTGACCCAGATTAAATGACATGTTCAAGGCCATGCAATTCATCATTAATATAATCTAGCAATGGAATTTACATATTATGAGACATTATAGGGGATATAAAAGTGAGCAAGATTTCAACCCTTGTCCTTTCAGTACTTATAGCAGTTTTAGGAAAGCAGGCATGTAAAAACATAACTACAGTATAAGGCAGAAAATTATATTTGGGGGAAAAAAGGAAATGTTTTGGGAATTCAGTAGAAGAAGAGATGGTTTATGATCTGGGACAGGAGACAGTGGAGAGGTGGTAGTGAGGGGACTGCATTGGTAATAATGTTAGATGATAATAGAGGAGGTAATCTATTAGTTGGAAGAATTGTTCAATGCTGTAATGAAATCCACTAGCA